AGAAAAAAAAAAAAAGTATCAGGCTTGCAATATCTGATTTCAGTGATGTCTTTCTGGATAGCTATAGCAAGGCAGTTTGAGGAGAAACCCTGCTAGTGACATGGAGAACCTAAGGTTTGGACTTTGAGGGGTATTTATCTTATTTGGGCAGGTAAGGACCTTCCTTTTTAAGTCAAGTTCTAAAAAACTGAAACTTCTCAGGCTGACCCATCAACAAAGTCATGGCCATCTGCATTCTTAAACTCTTGGTAGTGCTAAGTACTTTCCATGTGGCAGCAAAAAGCGAGTTGATAGCAGAGCAGCTTTTCACCCTTGCCCTTTGCAGTCTCAGCCGGCTGAAGAAGTGCGCTGCGAGGTGTCTGTGACTCGCACACATGGCTAGGGCTGCAGAGTGGGAGTACAGGCGGTAGCACGCAGTCCTGCCACCACTTCAGACAGCAGAGGGAAAAATAATGAGTAATGCAGATGTCATGCCAGCTATAGAAAAAGCTATGGGATGTTGTGATTTGTATACTTTCGTATCATTGTCAGCTCACCATTAGAAAAATGAGCAGGAAGAAAAAAAATACTGGGGAGAACCTTTCTTATTTTTTAAAAAAGAACAGATACAGAAAGGTTTTACTGAATTTTTAGCTGCTTGTATCATATTGGTCAACTTCTTTTGCCTTGCTGTCACAATCTAGGGTACAGTATATCAGGCACATTAATATTAGATAAAGCTTCATAAATTAACAGCATAACTTGCAATATAAATGCAAAATTAGCATTACTATGTGTGTATGAACAAAGCAGTAAGGGCCATTTCATTCATTCTGTACAGTTCCTTTACATGATTCCTGCAAATTCATTGGATACTCTACCTTAAATCTATATGATTATCCTTTGTAATGTTCATCTATTGAATTTATAATCCAGTGCATTTACAGTTAGGCATAGAATGCACAGAGCTTTTATCTTTCTTGATTTTTTTTTTTTTACATACCACTTTCAAGACTTGCCTCATAATGGTAGCTGCTTTTATGGGGAATAACCTGATTTAACTGTGGTACAGGAAGGCAATTCAGTTAAGTAAAACCAGTCCCTTTACAGGTTCCTTGTGATAAGGGTTATGTTTCAAGGAAAATCCAAAGAGTTACCATCTTGTACATAGTGAACTAGAGCGTGATAGCAAGTTCAGAATGGGACAGCAGGGAGGAGCTGTGAGCAGTCCTGGGCAGTGGTATAGAGAGGTAGGGGTATCCTCCAAAGCCACGACAGGGCTGCAGTGGTATGGAGATCAGTTGCAGGGTGGTTTAGAGGGGCTGAAGCAGCCAGGCAAAGCAGGGGCTACAGTTACTGCTACCAGACAGGCAAGGAAGGCAGTTCCCTTCTCCACCACTTCCTAACACACGCTAGTCCTTTGACTTTAAGGGAGAAAGATTTCAGCCCAATAAACAAATGATTTATGGAGTAAAAAATCCTGAAGGCCCGTGAAAAAAAAATGCATTGTAGAGTTGTTTACTGTACCAAAAAAACACAAACTTCAATTTTTTATATATGCATATATATACACAAAATATATACACAATATAATAAAGAATATACTTAAAATTTTGTGAATTTCCATGTTTCAAATGTTCGCTTATGAAGCACATAAGGAATACAGGCAACTATACTTCCCCCTCCCCCAATTTTTAATTATTTATTTTTTAAAATTAAATTTTAAAACCAACCTTATTGTCTTCAGTGGAAAGTATCCAGTTTTCACCAGTTTAAGTGAAAAGAGAGCAAGGCACAAAATACTTTGAAAAATATAATCCGACACTGTATGAATAGCCTTAAATTAGCTTTTGAAGAACATAATATATAGCTACAAAACTATAATTTTTGCCAAAGCTTTGTGGTTAGATCCCATTTATATTTACACGCACTATGGAATAACTAATATAGATGTCTTCCTGACACTAAAGTTTGGGATTTATTGGAAAAGACAAACATGTGGTTGAAAGCTGAGCTAGACTACAGCTTTTCAAAATGAAAAAGAAAGAAGATAGTTGTAAAATAAACCACTGTAGTTTACAAAACAGACAAGAAAGCAGACCCAGGGAACAGCAGGGATGTTGATCTCTTAAATAAGAGGGAATAGTTGGTATATAAATAAGTGACTATACCTGGTATTTTGGGGATGATTCTATGCCTGTCTGAAATAATGATAAAGCTTCAGTGAATTAAATAAGGTTCTCTATTTTTTTTAAATTTCTCAGCATTTTATATTAATAAAAAACCTATTTAAAAATTCCATTTTATGTGCTTAAGCCTGATAATCGGAAAAATAAGCAGCAGAAAGACCAGTGAACAACCCCAGTTTAAATGTGATTGTATAATTTACCTAAATGTGAAGTCTCCACATTGGGCCATGTTAAGTAATTCTTTTCTATAAAAATAAAACAGTCTATACTGAAGCTGTGTCTTACAAAATATCCTTCCTCCAAATAAAGCAAGGTACAGACTAACTTTAAGAGGAATTTCTTAAAATTATCCAGGATTTTGTCACATAATTGCTGTTACCCAGCCTCTGCAATGAATACAGTGAAATGCCTACAAAATCATACCTTAATGAAATAATGTCTCTAAAGCAAGTGCTGTATGTATTTCTTGGTTATTGTGGTATATACAGTCTAGTTAATCCTGGGAATTGCTTTTAGTACTTACTGTCTTTTGATTTAACAGCTTGGTTTTAATGAACGTTTAGGAGACTTGATTCCCATACGTTAAAATGTTATGCATGAAACAGCAATGCTTTACAGACTTTGTGGAGTTCAAAGGCAGCCCCAGAATTTTGCTTTCAGGACTTTTTGTTGTTGTTTCATACTTTGAGAAAATAGCTTGACATGTAGAGATTTACTCTACAATTTTTGGACTAACAATTTTTTATTCTACTGGTCTGTTATTCTAGCATATAGCAGGAAATTTTTGTAACAAGCAAAATCGTTATTATCTTCATATAGCACATCCCAGAAACCTACCTAATCTTTGCTGTTCTCTTCCTGTCTCTCCAAATGAACAAAATAGGCACAAACTAAAAGCCTGATCTACCTCCACAGAGGGCAGAGTTTCCTGTCAACTTTACTAGTACCATGCCAGGCAGCATAGCTTAAAAAACTCACAAGTCTGTTAAAAAAGGCCTTAGATATTCTCATTCAGTCTGAGGTTAGGCTGTCTGTTACTGATAAATGATTTATTGATATATGGGGAAATTTCCACTACAGAACTGCACTAACTGCACTTGACATATAATTCCTTTCTTTCTCCCAATAGCATGTTCTATAATGTGCATAGGAATATGGAATCTTTTTTTTTTTTTTAAAGATTCATATGGTCAAGTTTTCTATTTACTTGCTTAAGTAAATGTTTTTAGTTTAATAAAACAATTTGTAATGAAAGTTAAAAAATGACTTCTTGAAATAGAAGTCATAATAAAAATGCCTTTTTCCCCTCCAGTATATTTATTTTAACATATGGGCACAGTTTCTTACATTTTCACATTAATTGAAATCTTATTGTTCTAGAAAAAAATAAATTTCTTTCCCTTCCTCTAATTTCCCAGCTCTTACGCAAATGAAATAGCACAAATACAGCCATAGTTTGCGGTTTTAAAATAAGTAAAATTGTGTAAATTAGCTGTGTCTTTAAGAAGCATCATGCCAAGAAGTACTCTCACATAGCCTATGTTTCATAATTTACCTCTCTCTTTCATGAAATAGCAACATATGATTCTCCTTTTGATTACTAACGGGGTTTTAAAAGATGATCTAAAGATTTTTAATTTTGGTCCTTTTTTTTTGTTACAAAGTCATCTCACAGTAATGTTCAAAAGGAGCTGCTAAGGCTCTGGAGCATCAGCTAAAGTCCCCAAAAGAGGCAGCGTTCTCCAGGCAAGAAATCCATTCTTTTTATTTGGAAATTACCAGGATAACGGATTTATTTGAAGGGAGGCAGACTGAGGGGAAAGAAGCGAAGAATCCAACAGCAATATTAGCAGCTGCTGCTTTCCTCGTACATAATCCTGGATGTTCCTCCCATCCAGATTCAGACAGTTTGAAAGAAACTGCCTATAAATATCAATTCACTTTTAAGAAACTTTTCTTGGTTACAGAAGCTAAAATAAAGCACCATAGCAAATAAATGCAAAGCATGCCACAAAGCTTATCCGCTTTCTCCTGAAGAAAGCTCGATGACTGTCACCGCGAGCTGTAGCCGAATCCTCCAGTGCTGTGGTGAGCAGAACAACTCTAAAGACTTAAATCATTTTTAAAATCATTTTCTCTATCAAAACTCACCAGCGCCCTTCTTCTCCAGGAAGTTGTACCCGTCAGCACCTGCTGAGGGCTTCGTTGATCAAACCGACAGGTAAAAAAATTCCTGTAGAATAAAGCCAGACCAGCTGGCTTTGAAGAGGAGCCCCCAGTTTGGGTTGTGTTTGCCTCACTCACCCCGGACTCGGCAGCCACAGGCGTCCCGGCCCCCTCCCCGGGTGCCCATGGAAAACAGCGAGCTGGCTGCCTTATCCCAAAATCGCTTCTTCGGCAGGGGAAGGGGCAAAATTGCTTTCATATGGCGAGAAAAGTTTCCTCCTTTAGGTAGACGCTAAAATTACATTCCAAGAATAATCTCCGAACAAGACAAGTTTTTGTTCTATTAATTGTGGCTGGAAGGAAACTTTTTTAATGGAAATACAGCACACACATATTTCAATTCAGGTTATTAAACTGTGTTAAGTATTAAAGTTGATTGCCTTTCTTTTCACTAACTCATTGTGCTTTTTTATCCTAAGAAATATTAGAAGACTAAAACCTCTCAAATAGGAGGTATTAATCTCATTCCCAAAATTAGAAAGCATGCAGTGTTGAGAGACTGGATGTCAAAATTACATGTTCATAGCACTTATGCCCCGGGAATGTAGGAACCAATCACTTTTAAAATGGAAGCTAAAATAAATGGAAAGCGTTCTTGGAGGGAAACAAACTCAACCGGGTGTTCTTGTCCTTCCTGGATTCAGGTAAGGGCATTTATCATTTATACCCACCCAGCCTTTCCCCTGCCACCTTCTTCCTGGAAGTGGCTTCTGGTGATTGAAATAGACCTAATTTGCATCAGTATGTCTATCACAGAGTTAAAAAAAAAAGTTGTCAACAGAGCTTTGCCAGGTTTAGGCGCAGCATACCTAGATACTCCATTTCTGCTCAGAAAGTATGCCATAAACCCAGACAAATCTATGGAGAAAAAAAATAATCAAAAGTATGTCCTTTAGTAGAGTGTGCTGCTTAAAGGGAGCAAAACGTTCATTTTAAAAAGAGTGATGAGAAAAAGTCTGGGTCAGGAGTGCTTTGTAAAATAAACAAGGTTCCTATTTACTTACTATGTATAAACAACCACTCACCAAGCTGTATGTCTCCGCAGGGGCACCCTTTCAGATAAAAACATGGACCTGATTGGCATCATCCTGTATCCATGGAAACCTTGTTAAGTACCTCTCTCAACATGTACTTCTCTTATTCAGGATTTAAAAGCTGAGTACTGAATAAGTAAGTGTTTTTATTTAATAATTATATGGGAGGTACTTTGTGGAAGCTTGGTAAGAGGAACAGGTTCTTGGGTTTTGTATCTGCCATAATAAAGCTCTTGTGGTTTCATCATATTTGATAAAATCGCATGTTTCAAGTGTCCAGCCAGCTCTCATTCTTAGAGAAAAAACAACATTTCAAGTCCTAATGAATGAGAACTTTGAACTTTTGATTATCCATGCGGTCTGAAAATAATGATCATAGTTCATGTTCCCTTCAGACTTACTACTGCTCTAACTGCAATAAACTGGACTGTTTTTGAACATAAAAAAGGAAAAAAAATTAGTAAGAAAAGAGACTATTTTCCTTTGGAAATAGGTATAGCCACCTGGCTTTTTAGTAGGTTACAGAAGTTAACAGTTTAACAGTCAGCTTGAAACCTGACCCAAGAGTGAAAATAAAGATGGTTTATCACAGAAATAGTAATTCAAATGGAAAACAATGCTTTTCCTATTAATGCCTGCCTTAATTTTCCTATGCCTGCCTCAGTGCTTAGTTAAAAGTCAAGCCAAAGAACTGGCAGAAATAAGGGATTTTATTACTCCATATTCCCATGCAGAGGAAGGAGCATAGACACAAACTACTACTTTCGCCCCACAAAGTTATAATCCTGAAGATTTACTGAGGAACAAATGTAGTTACTTGAAAGTTGCCTTGGCTCAATTTCAAAACTGTTTAAGAATTTAGCCTTTTATCTGGTATAAATAATGCTCATTTAACATAGTTTGATTACTAAGTATGAATATAAGTGATCACCATTCATTATCTTTAGTTAAAAATATATATATATTTAGTACTACCATAGTTTTATTGATGGAAAATGCATTTTCTCCACCTGGGCCAGGTTGTAGCGCTAAAATATCTTCTTAATTGCAGCTGTTATCAGAAAAACACATTTCTGTCTAGAAAAATCCAGTAGTTGTCATTGAAATCCAACTGGTTTAGAGTCTTGGTTTGCTAGGTTTATATCTCTGCATATTATTTTCATTTACGCCTGTTATTGTTTTTATGTGCTACCTTGTCTCAACAACCCAGTCCCTGCTGAGTGCAGATGGCACAAATGATCTCTCCACGGATTAGACTGGAACAGCATTTGCAGACACTGCATGTAAAACTTCCCTAATGAAAATTGTTACCTTTTCACATGCTAGGTTCTCCACATCAGTCCTATGCATCTGTTTGTGTTTGCGTATACAAATGTGCCAAGGCTTTAAGTCCTGTGATTTTGGTGTGGGCTGAACCTGTATAACTTTCTGTGAAAGCACTGGTGGGTGATCTGCCTGGGGGCTGGTGCATTCGTCCTGCAAATGCTGCTGGTGATTGCCACGTGAGACCTGGGATTGGGATTGCTCTAAAGAACTTGTACTCTGAGCCAAGTGAGCATAACAGAGAGGTGAAGCTTCCAGCCTCCAGGGAAGGATGCAGAATGCATGATCATTTTGTACGGTTCTCTTCCATCATGTGGTTATCCTTGCTGCAAGGTCAAGGTTGCTGGGAAGTAGCCCAGGTTCCTGAGAGACTCTAGCTCCAGCTCAGCCCTCTGAGTTCACATTGACACAGACAAGGTGCTCTCACCTTGTCCATCATCCTGAACAAATAAACTTTCAGTTAGGTTGCTCAGGTGTGCTGCAAAAAATGCACTGGACACATGCGGGGCTTGATCTTGCCACACTGAAATCAGGGGAAAAGTTTGCCCCCTTTGTCACTATGTAGTGGGCAAAACATCTCAGTCGTCTGAGCCACAGATCTTGTGAAAAGAGGGGATAAGGAAAAAAGATAATTGTATCATTTGGGCACATAAATCTTCATCTAAGTAATATATTCTCAGCTTTATAATTTTTAGCTTTTTATCCAAGATGTCTTTTTTCTAGCATTTGTTAAAGAATCACTTCCAAAATGCTAGAAAGTCAGCCTGAGCATATTGCAGATAAAATCTGTCTCCCTTCTCCATCACGTAAAATAGAGATACAACATTTGGCCTAAATTCAGTTTTTCAGGTGCTAAAAAGCTATGACAAAACTGCACAGATCGTATGATAATGGGCATATTATACAACTCCAGATCATCCTCATATGCCCAACTTATTATTACCAGTTTAGTTTGCTGTAGACCAATTTTATAGCACTGTCAACTTAAACAGCACTTTACAAGCATAAAGGTTCATTGAATTCTTATTGTATTTACAATTCAAATTTGGTAGTACAAATAACTGTGGGGGGGAAGGTGGAAAATACTTTTTTTTTCCTATTTTTATCTTTAATTTTTAGAATAATTAAGAATATTTAAGAATAGGAGAGAAAACTGAGCTGGATTGTTTGAATGTTCTTAAGAATCAGAAGCATACAAAAATGTGGGCAAAGACTTCTCCATGTAGTACCTCCTGCTATTTTTGAGCAATCAGGGAGAAAATGGGCCCAAAATTTTGCCGCTTGAGACAAACATAGCTGAGAAGGACAAGATGAGAAGCCCACCTGACTGAAAAGTAGCTGCACTTGAGGAACTTGTGTACAATTATGATGTCTCATATTTGTGAATGGAGCTTGAAGAGAGCTAAAGGTAGAAGTGAGAAAGCAGAGTTGGGAACCTGCCTCCTTTAGCAGGAGTGGACAAATGCCTGCAAGGAAAGACACTTACAGTGGCAATTTAATGGAATATGAGACCCTTGGTTCAGAGAGTCACTCATGTATGTGACTAACTTCAATCCCCACACTCAACATGCGTGTTCGAAGTTGCATATGTCCCTTCCTCTCTTCCTGTATACCATCTTAAAGCAGGAGTAATGTAAACCTACATTTGGCAAGCATTAGGCAGGTTTTCCTAAGAGCTGGAATTGTGTTTGTGAAGAGAGAAAGAAAATAAAAAAAATCAAGAGATTAGAGAGACTGTAAGTGAGGAAAGAGAATGGAGTAGTTAATACAGATGGAGGAAGGAGGTAGGGGAGGATTGAGAAGGAAAAGAGTGCTTATGTGGGAAGAATTTTGTTTGAGGCACTGGCTGGTAGCCAAAGGGAGGTACATGCAATGCTAGAAAAATGGAGAGAGTCACATTTGGGATAAAAGCAGCTGAAGGGATGGAAGGAGATGATTTCTCTGAATGGGGAAAAGATAGGCATTTGGGATGCACTTCTCTACTTTTCTACTTTGATTGTCCTAAAAAGAAAGGACTTTTCAAAAAAGAGCGTTTAAACTAGTGACAGGGAAAGTACACAGATACACAGGAAAAAAAAAAGACCTTGCAGTGAATTGCCAGTGCTACTGAAAGGCTGTGCCTAAAAATGCATGTATACATGCATATTAAATCTTCCTATTTCTTGTTTTTCTTTAAAGAGAGCTATGTGAAGCAGTTACTAATCAGAGCAGAGGAAATAATTTTGACATGCACAATAACATCAGGTAGGCAGCACGCGCGTGCAATGTGCGCAGCATAAAAGCAGGGAGGGAAGAAGTGCCAGGGCAGGGCCCACACTCAACCCTGCGCGCGCGGCAGCTTCTGTGCAGCGCGCTGCCGTAGCCAGCATGGCCTCTGTCACATGAACTTCACACACAAACATCAGAGGACAGACCCACTCAATGACACGGTCTGTTCCAGGGACTACAGACACATAAAGTAATGTTAAAAAGTGGCTCTGTGGGAAATCAGGTATATATGTGCCTTTATTTTAAATGCTCTCCAGGATAGTGGTGGTAACTGCCAATAATGTTTAGAGCAGAACAGTTGCACTAATAATAAGATATTTAAAAGTAATAATAAATTAATAGTGACCCTCTAGTCCAAAGTATGATTTATTGCAAACTGATCTGCTGTTTTCTATAACTGTTTTACATATTAGTTGCCAGTAGAGTTGCCCAAGAATTAAAATATAAATATGACAGTGGGTGAGTCATAAATAGTATGTCTAAAAGGAAAAAAAATCAAAATGTTACAAGTTTTTAAAACTACAGCATAGTGCAAATCAGCAATATGGTATATTGTCAAATTAATTATTTTAAAAGAAATATTTAGAATAAACATTGGAAAGGCTCAGTGGAATAAAAGGTTTCACTTAAATTGTTTTTTGCATGAATGTGAGAATGTTAAGCTCCTGTACTTGCAAACCATTTTTCATCTTTTGCTGTTGCCTCCCAAACTTCTGTAGGTTCCACTTTCATAAATATGTTCTGTTAAATATGAGATCTGTTTTACCTTTGTCCTAGTGTTCCAACAAAAGGTATTTATTAGTAAACAAATAAATAGATGTCCTGCTTGTTTTAAGTCTGTCCTTTCGTATTATATAAACAGTCACTTTGAAGTATATATTTTAGGTGGACTGGTACCACAGCTATGCATAAGGTTGCCTGATACTCACTGAGTTTTTTTTTTAATTGTAGGTTGCCACACTTTAATCACTAAGCTGGAAAGTGTTCCTTTTGAGATAAGTGTCTTATCCCAAATTTTGTAGAATGGTTCACTTGATCACTTGAAATTAACAGTAGGAGAAATAGTCCTATTATAGCTAAAAATTATAATAGTTTTGCTGATAATTTCTACCATCTATAGATTTTGGAATAATGAAGAAGGTTTAGCAGGGATGATCTTAAGGCGGTATCTGGCATAAGTCTGTCCAAGCAACATGTCTACCAAAGAAATTCACCCAGAAAACACCAGGTCATGTGTGCTTGTTTGAGACTTCAGCTGGGAATCTGGCACCACAGAGAAGGAGGAAGTGATTAAGAACTGTTGGCATGACTGTCTGCAAGACCCAAATTATAGCTGCATGGGAACTAATTTTGATATCCCTGGTATTTTAAGCACTGGGCATTCTTTTCTCATAGAATCTGAGGGTTTAGTAAGGCATATGCTGCACTGCATATATTCTGCCCTCTATAGAGAACAGATGGGTCAACTGCTGCTCCTTCCCTTATGTACTTACTCAATTTCTAACACAAAAAGATAAATGTACAGGTGGTTCTTTCTCTATTCACTCCTCCCCTCTCCTCCTCTCCTTTCACTTTTTTTTTTTTTTAATCTGCTTCTTGGGATGTTAGAGGGAACAACCCTCACTGACTTTCTCTTTGCCCCAACTCTCAATGCTGCTGCAAGCATTGCTCCATCTTCAAAGTAACAGAAACATTTCTGAGAGAATTCCTGCATCCTGAAGAACCGAGTTGTGCAACAGCCACTTGTATGTACACAAAATGTAACTCTATTTTTTTGGCATTAATATATATTCACTGAAACTGAGACAAAACTGCTGTTTCTAAGAGCCACTGATTTGGACAATTATTCAAAATCAGATTATAATAAATGGTAGTCTTAGGGATTTTGATTAACCTCTAAATAAATGTTACTTTGGAAAAGCCCCATCAAATGCATTAATGACAAGCTGTGAAGTAGTAGTAATTGCAGGCATGGCATTATAGATAACATAGTTAATTGATACCATCCTCTCAAACATGTATAGCACATCAGCTGCCATGAAGCTGGAATGATTATAATACTATTTACAACAGTTTAAATGTATTAAATAGGACATGTGTAAAATGCAAACTTGGAGTGCTTATTAGGATCATCCTATATGGTCACTGGATGTCTTTACTTTGGGCAAAAGCATTTTTAGTGTTGCTCGGTCATTAACACTTCCAGCCTTCCGAGGAAGTAAGTATATAATGATCTGCTCTAATTAGCCTTTACAGGAATGTCATATGCTCCAGGTTGAAGACTGTTATTAGCTAGAAAGAGACCTGGTTCCTTTCCCTCCCTTTCCCCTGCAACTCAGTACGTATTTTTTGGATTACATGGTTGGTTTTCCATTTTACTTAGCTCACTATCATTGTTCTAGTCTGGTAAAGCAGTACTAGCATATTTTTGTTTTTTAAAGGCAGAAGTTAAAAACAAATCTAAAGGTGCACATTCTTTTATAATTGTATGGATTCTTACTTCATACAAAACGCTTAGGAGGAAGCTGCCTGAGGACTTCAGCGGAGATGTGTCATAAGATGACTAGTTATGAAAGAAGGAAGCCTGCCCTTCTCCTTTTCTCCCATAATCAAAGACTGTTCCGGTTTTTAGCCCCTTACAGTTGTAATTTGTAACTCTAAATAGTTCTGCTCTCACAGAATGATTTAACAATTAATAATATTTGTAAACTATTTCACAATGCTCCTTTGCGCACCTTGTGAGAAGCAGAAATCATTGCAAGTGGGGGATACAGGCACACAGCAATACATACATATAGCAGCTACTCCAGGCGTTATCCCAAACTGGATAGGAAAGGAGCTGAATTTTTTGAGAAAAGTGTAATCACTACTGGGCATCTCTAGTAATAGGTCGTATGAATTTAGCCTGAGGTTAGCATTAGGAGTGGCAGCTTCACTGCAGAGAGGGTTAGCATTCTGCATGTTTGGTACACCAGCTCCTATCTCCTTAGGGAGGCATTTCTCTAGTTCATGTATCTTTGTACTCTCAGCCTGGCAACCAGTTGTAAGACAGAAGAGGAACTATACAGCAGTTAATGTTTTTATCACATGCACATTCACTTCTGTCAGGGAGCAGCACAGCATGGCTGCTCCACAAGGCAGGGGACAAGCCAGGAGCCAAGGATGACCACAGTGCAGACAGCACCTTCACCAACCAGGGCACAGCCTCACGGCATCCAAGCACAGCAGCCAGAGCAGGGGGCTGGTAGCAGGGCCCACTGAAAACAGTCAAGTCTAGGACAGCAGCAGCCCATCCAGGCAGCCCAGTCAGAAGTAGCAGGAGATGGGGCCAGAGACAGGAGTAGAGACAAAGCTGCAACATGGATCTAGCCTCAGGAGATAAGGCCAGAGACAAGAGACTACAACAAGACTACAACCAACATGCAGGAGAAGACTTATTCACAGCATAGGCCTAGGAGGCCACTCAAAAGGCAGAGACAGAACCTCAGGCCGCAGCATTTACAGCATGGCCCAAGTCAGCATGTGCCTGGGCACGTGTGGATGCCCCAGGTGAGGCTGTTCAGGGCCATTAAGGACTGTGACTTCCCTTCTCTTGCCCTTATCAATGCTGGCAGTCATACAAGTTAAAATCCATTTGCTTAGATCATCTTTGCTAGTGAAAGAGAGTTTTTCCAGAGAAAAACATCTTTTTTGATGGGTTCACTTTGAAATTATAAAAGTCAAGAGAAAACAACATGTGTGGGGATCTTCTAGCTGCATATCTCCAATAGGCCAGACAGAGCTTCTTCAACAAGACGGAGGCACTGGCAGAATGAAAAATTGAGACGTGCAGAGCACAGCCAGCATGTACCACACCACCATGGATTCTCCGCACAGGAGCCCGGGATTGATTTTGGAGGATTTTTTTTTAACTCTGAATCTTCTGGATCCTCTGAATCTGGAGGATTCAGTCCTGCATTTGAAGAACTGGTTAAGGTGTAGGTAAGTTTTCCAAGGCAGAAGGGCAGGCCTACAGTGCACATTGGGAGACTGACTGCTGCTGTTCCCTTTTGCATTTGGAAAAGAGAATTGGCTTGATGGAGTGTAAAAAAGGGCTGATTTTCTCTGATGCAGTGAATATTCTTTTTTTAAAGCAGTTCTTTTCTAGGTCATGCTGCCAGTTTAAGTGAGCTTACTTTGTGCAATAAAAACATGAGATCAATTTATAACCTTCTAGTCATGTGTATCTGTTGTCCATTTTCAAATGAAAATTGACAGTCTTGAAAATCCCATCATTGTAGTAAAATAACCCCATTTAGCCCATACATGTACTCAAAACTGTGTGAAATAAGCCCAAGTTCTGTATTTTCTCTAGATTGCCTTGAATGAGGTTTTGCTAAATACATATAAAAGCAGTTCTTAATTTCTTTCTTTTTAATAGCATGATGCATGTCTTCGAATAAAAGTTATGGTGCTAAAAAAAAAAAAACTGCAAAAAAGCTGAAATTTCT